CCCGCCTCCGAGCCGCCGTCTTAATTAAGGAAACGCCAACACCACTGAGCTCGACCCGACGACGATGCGGAAGAGGCGGAGGTGGTTCCGCGCTCGGCAGAGACCAGCTACGTGTCACCGGGAGTAACGTCGCTGCGCAGCCTGTGCCACCAAAGCAAACGAGTCGCTACCGGCGCCGCACAGCCCAGAGGGACGGCGGCCCGTGTGCATCCAGTCCCTCTTCATCCTCTGAACCAGACGAAGGGCCGTCACCACTGAGCTCGACCCGACGACGATGCGGAAGAGGCGGAGGTGGTTCCGCGCTCGGCAGAGACCAGCTACGTGTCACCGGGAGTAACGTCGCTGCGCAGCCTGTGCCACCAAAGCAAACGAGTCGCTACCGGCGCCGCACAGCCCAGAGGGACGGCGGCCCGTGTGCATCCAGTCCCTCTTCATCCTCTGAACCAGACGAAGGGCCGTCATGGAGACGTCGTGAGTCTTCATCCCAAATTCCAGCATGTGAGCGAAGCGAGGGATCAGCAGACACGGATCTGGACGGGACGGCACGAGATATGGAGAGAGATTCGATTTTTTTGTCCGAGAACCGCCGCGCGAAAGAAAAGAGGAAAGGAGCGCGCTGCCGTTCTCACCAATGGCGGGCGCGTTGATGCAGAGTTCGCGAGCCAGCAGCAAGAAGGTTTTCCCCAGGATGTAAACGTTGACCTGCGCGTCACACTTCTTTCAGCTTGACAAAGACGGCTCTCTCTCTCTCTCTCTCGCTGTCGCTCGGCCCTCGGCTTTTTACCTGCAGCAGGTCGCTGAGATCCAGCAACATATCTGACAAAGCGGTTCAGGAAACCTCGGCGGCACGCAAAAGAACAACAAACGGCGCGTGGCCACGAGGCAAACGCACGACGGGATACGCGGCGTCCCCTCCGTGCGACACACCAGGTAGAGGCAGGCGGCGATGATGTGTTCCGTTTTGCGTCCGCGCGTCAGATGTCTGCTGACCACCATCTTGAAGAAGTTGAAGGCCGTGTCCAGGCAGTGCTGGTTGAGCTGCAGCTGGTTGCCGAGGTGATAGATCTGCCGTCTCCCTGACGCCATTCACAGTGATTGACGGCAGTCAGTCGGCCGCGTTTCGCGGCATCCTTCCCGGTACGACGCTTCCGAGCGAACCGCTCAAGACATTGAAAACGCGGTACGGGGAAGGTGACAGTAACGTCTAATTTAAAAAAAAAAAAAAAAAACCCACAACTCACCACTTTGCAGCGTCTGCGCGCGGGACTCTTTCCCGACACTCGTGTGGAAACCAGAACCAAGCAGAGGAGTCTTGGCTGGACCTGAGAAACACACGCACACACACACACACACGCGCGCACACGCGCCACCGCAATCAGTCTCTGGTGTGGCCACTTTGCCCGTTGCCAGGGCAACGGGCTTATTAGTCCACCTGGCTGCACGGGGCCGACTTTGGCTCAACTTGAGTTGAGTTCATTGCAAGATGAGGACGACGACGACGGCGGCTGTCTTCCTGGGGTGAGTTCCGAAAAGGGGGGGGGAGCCCTTTTCTTTTGAAACGCAACGCAAGAGTAAAAAGCCACTGCTTTTGCTTGCAGGATCGCTTTTGTGACTTTGCTCAGCCGGACTCGCGGGACGGTTGAAGGTAAAGCGCTGGATGATTTGAGCAGTGTGCAACGAGTCATCGGTTAGCGAGCGATGGCCGAGCGTTTTGATGCCTTGTTGAAGTCAAAGTTGTCCGACGCCTCGGGATTTCGGCGCGTCAACGGTTAACCGCCGCGATGGCGCTCGTCCCTTTGTGAAAGGGGACCAATTATCCAATTTCGACATGAGCCAACGTCCGCTTTGACTTGGAAAAGTTGAGGGCCTCCATTTTGGATGATTTTTCTGACATCCCCCACCAAGGCTGCAAGCAATTTGGATGTGTAGTCTCTGTTGAAGGCATAGCGCCGCGTCGTTCACCTCGCCGACCTCTGCTTGATGGTTTGCTTCCACGAGTCTCATTTTCTTTCTGCCCCCCCCCACCCAGTCGAGTGGGCCTGTCGGGATCGTTATCTGTGGATCCACGTGCTCTCCAAACGGACGGCCCGGTTTGAGGCCATAAGTGAGTGCTCGTGTTGAGCCGTAGGCGGCGGCGGCGGTGCAAAGGTTGACCTTGTGAACCTTCTCTCCGCGGCGGCGTAGATGCCGACGGCGCGCACCCCATCGGCGAAGCGCTGGCCTCCCGCTGCGGCTACACCGTCAGCGCCTTCAAGGCCGGCGGATTCACCACCTTCAGAGCTTCGTACTACTCCTGCTTCACTCTGGTTCAGGTCGCGGCCCCCCCGCCCCGATATCGGGACCCTTGTACTCGGCGCCAGAGGTTGACGTGTGCTCTCGCGCGTTCAGGATGACCGGGTCTTCACCTTCCGGCTGAACGTGCTGGTGAGCGACGGCGCTTCGGAATGGACGAGCCGGCCGGTTTCGGCCGTGTGTTCCGGTCTGAGCTGGATCCACCGAGAGATCGTGTGCGAGGAGGACTACATGGAGGTAAGCGGGCGCTCCGGTCGCAGCCCCGGCCGCCCGGCTCAACGGCGTTTTTGCTCGGATGTCGTCAGGTGAACGTCCGGCGGGAGGCTCGGTGCGCCGCGCGGCCGGGGCCGGCCGGACAAGCGGAGCGGGCGGCCCTCTCCCAGGTAACTTCTCTCGTGCTCAAAAGGAAACCCCGTCGGGCGCGCAAAGTGACGGATGCCGACGTTTTGACTCCCGCGCTTCAGGCGGTCGCGACGGCGAGCTCGGTTTCTCAGCTGATGTTCCTGCGGCCCGATGGCCGTCTGACCCCGGTGTCGATTGCCGAGGCGGAGAGCGGGGGCTACGGCGTGACCCTGACCGCCGACAGGGCGGTTCTTCGAGCTTCCTACAAAGCGGCGGAGGCGCAGCTGATCCAAGTAGGTCGCTCGCCGTGTCTCGGAAACATCAAGCCCGGTTCTCAAACGAGACTGACACGTTGCCCTTTGAGACCAAGCGTTCAAGATGAAATCGCAAGGCTGACGTCGGCACGGCGCCCGGGGAGCGCGCGATGGCTTCGGAAGACCCGAGACGTCAAAACGTTGACTCGGTCGAATTGAATCCTCAGGTGGACGGCGTCGACGTCGTCGTGCTTGGCGTTTTTCTCTTCTACAAACGGCAGCTGACGGTGGTGACGCTTGACATGTCCGTGGCCTGCGCCGTCAGTACGTCCTCATCAAAACGGGCGGGCGGGGGCGGGCGGGGTCTGGCTAAACAAAAACCAAACCAGACCAGACTCTGGGGCTACACGTGGTTTCAGACGCCGCTTCTTACGACGGAGCTCGGCTGGTGTGGGACTTGCCCAGAGTGCTGAGGCCTCTCCTCGAGGAGGGGGCGGCGTTTCACAGTCACAGGCGGAGCCTCGAGGTGGACGGCGTGACGCTGGACGAGCGGAGCGCTGCCGCCAAGGGTTTCGGTCTGGTCCAACAAGAGGAGCTGGTCCAAATCTCGGTTCCCTTTGGCGCGGAGGGCGGCGACACGAGGGTAAAGTCACCCGGGTCCCAGTTTGAGCCGAGGACCGCTTGTTTGAATGCGGTTTTTTTTTTCCAGAGTTTGGTGGTAGACAACATGTACAAGGAGAGCTTTGCGATTTCCCTGCTCTACGAACACCTCTTCTCGGCGGCGTCTCCAGATGGTGGCGGCGTCGACACCAAAGTTCGAATTGTCAGGGTGCTCCCAACGCCGCTGCTCTGTCGGCGACCCTTCAGCCCGGACCGTAAGTCT